TACACCACCCTCGGCGCCCCGTCCTCCGGCTGTCCCGCACCCTGCGCCGGTGCCGCAGCCACCCCAGCCACCTCGCAACGGTGGCAACAGCGGCAACCGCCGCCGCGGTCGCGGCGGCAACCGCCAAGGCGGAGGCAAAGGTGGCGGCGGTGGTGGTCAGGCTCCTCAGCAGCAGCCCCCGCCACCCTGGGCCGATGGATACAACCCCTGGACGGGGGTCGTGCACGCCTACAGCATGCCTGTGCCGCGGCCCCCGCCCCGGGCATTCTCGGCCCCCGCCCGAGCGCACCCCAGGCGCTCCTGGCCGCGCCCTTCGGCGCCAGCGGCGCCCTCGGCGCCCCTCTTGCCGCGCCCTCACACAGCGCATACGGCGCCCCCGGCGCATATGGCGCCTCCTACTACGACCCGGCCCTTCTAGCGGCCCTGCAGCAGCCGCCACCCTACTCCGGCGGTGGTGGCGATTGGATCATGGACTCCGGTGCCACCGCTCATATGTCCGCTCATCCGGGTAACCTCTCCTCTGTTCATCCCACTTCCACTCCTTCCCGTATCATCATCGGCAACGGTGTTGGTCTTCCTATCTCCCATGTCGGGTCTGCACCTTTTCCTTCTAACTCTCGACCTCTCTCTTTTAATAATGTCATTGTTTCTCCCCATCTCATTTAGAACTTAGTCTCTGTTCGCAATCTTTCTCGTGATAATTTCGTAACTGTGGAATTTGACGAAGTTGGCTTTTCTGTTAAGGACGCTCGCACCAGGATGATTCTTCACCGCTGTGACAGTCCCGGCGACCTCTACCCAGTTCAGTCGCCGTCATCTCCGGGTGGTCCTCGCGCTTTTTCCGCCGGCGTCGATCTTTGGCATGCTCGTCTCGGGCATCCTAGCACTTCTTCCCTTTGTCAAATAATGAGAGGATTTTCTTTTTCATGTGATAAAACGGCCGCTCACTCATGTGAAGCCTGCCGGTTAGGCAAACATGTTCGCCTTCCTTTTAGTTCCTCTTCCACAGTTGCATCTTTTCTGTTTGAGTTAATTCATAGCGATGTATGGACATCTCCAGTACCCAGTAATTCTGGCTATCTTTATTATCTCGTCATACTGGATGATTACTCTCACTTTGTGTAGACATTTCCTCTTCGTAGGAAATCAGATGTTGCCGCCACTCTCATTGCATTCTATGCTTATGTTTCCACACAGTTCGGGCGACCCATACTCGCACTTCACACCGACAACGGAAAAGAATTCGACAATCACACCATCCGCCATCTCCTTTCCACTCACGGCACCGTGTTTCGTCTCACGTGTCCCTACACCTCCTAGCAAAATGGCCGTGCCGAGCGCATCCTACGCACCCTCAATGAGTGTGTGCGCACCCTTCTTTTTCATGCCTACATGCCTTCTCGGTTTTGGCCCGATGCCCTCGCCACCGCCACCCTCCTCCTCAACCTCCGGCCATGCCGGCCACGCTGGAACTACGCGCCTCATCATCTCCTCTATGGCACTCCTCCCTCCTACGACGGTCTCCGTATTTTTGGTTGCCGTTGCTACCCCAACACCACAGCCACCACCGCCCATAAACTCGCTCCTCGTTTCGTTCCATGTGTCTTCCTTGGTTACCCGGCCAACACTAAGGGTTATCGCTGCTACGACCCTGTGTCTCACCGTGTCATCACATCACGACATGTGTACTTTGATGAGTTTGTGTTTCCCTTTGCTCAGGAACAGGTGGTACCGGCTTCTCCTCCCGCGGCTGGCTCTTCTCCGCGCCGCCGCCTGCTGCCGGCCCTGGGTGCTCCGGCCCTCCCGCCCGCGGAGCCCTCCTCCGGCTCGGGGCCATCCGCGGCTCCCTCCTCCGGCTCGGCGCCCTCGTCGCCTGGAGCCCCGTCCACGCCGCCTACGTCGCCTCGCGCCCCAACCATGCATGCTGGGTCGGCTGCTGGGCCTCCTGATGGGTCGCCGGCTGGGTCGGCCTCCCCTGGCGCGGCCTCTATGGGCGAGGCCTCGACCCCGCCTCGGTCGCCCGCCTCGCCAGCCTCGTCGGCTGGCTTCTCCGACGCCGCGGTCTTGACCCCTGCTTCGACAGCTCCGTCTGCTGGCCCCACCGACGACGCGGAGGCCACTGCCTCTCCAGTGGACGCCGTGGCTGCCACGGCCCCACCGCCACCCGCGGCTGCTCCGACGGCCGGGCCCGTCACCCGCTTGCGCACTGGGGTCTTTCGCCCGAGTTCCTGTTATGCGGACGACTACGTCTGCACCGCCTCGACGTCCGCTCCTTCCCCGCTGCCGTCCTCGGTCCGGGCCGCTCTCCGCGACCCTCTCTGGATGGCTGCCATGCAGGAGGAGTTTGACGCTTTGCAGCGGAACCGGACTTGGTAGCTTGTTCCCCGTCCCCGGCACGCTAATGTGATCACCGGGAAGTGGGTCTTCAAACACAAGCTTCGTCCCGACGGCACTCTGGATCGCTACAAGGCGCGTTGGGTTGTTCGTGGTTTCCGGCAACGCGCCGGTGTGGACTTCACCGACACTTTCGCCCCGGTTGTTAAGCCCGGGACCATCCGCACTGTTTTACAGTTAGCGGTTTCTCGTGCCTGGCCAGTTCATCAGATGGATGTCTCCAACGCTTTTCTGCATGGCCATCTTGAGGAGCAGATTTTCTGTCAGCAGCCCACGGGGTTTGTTGACCCAGCGTGTCCTGATCATGTGTGTCTGCTCTCACGCTCATTGTATGGGATCAAGCAGGCTCCTCGTGCCTAGTACCAGCGCATCGCAGCGTTTCTTCATCAACTCGGCTTCCGCTCTACACGCTCCGATGCTTCGCTGTTTGTTTATCACCATGGCACCGACACGGGGTACTTGCTGCTTTATGTTGACGACATCATCCTGACAGCATGCACTTCCGAGCTTCTTCGCCGACTTACTGATCTTCTCCGTGCTGAGTTTGCCATCAAGGACTTGGGTCCGTTGCACTACTTCCTCGGTGTTGAGGTGGTGCGTCGTCCTGATGGTTTCTTTCTTCATCAACGGAAGTACGCTCATGAGCTCCTTGACCGCGCTGGTATGCTTAACTGCAAACCGGCCGCTACTCCTGTCGACACGAAGGCTAAGCTCTCTGCTACTGATGGTACTCCTGCTCCAGATGCTGGCTTCTACCGGTCCATTGTTGGTGCTCTTCAGTACCTTACTCTCACTCGGCCGGAGCTTCAGTACGCGGTTCAGCAGGTCTGCCTGCATATGCATGCTCCTCGAGATATTCACTGGACTGCCGTTAAGCGGATTCTCCGTTACATCCGTGGTGCTATGGACCTCGGCCTCACTCTGCGCGCCTCTACTGCCACTGATTTGGTCGCCTACTCCGACGCCGACTGGGCTGGTTGCCCGGACACTCGTCGTTCTACTTCGGGTTACTGCATCTTCCTTGGACCATCCCTGGTGTCGTGGTCGTCCAAGCGGCAGCCCACCGTCTCGCGGTCTAGCGCCAAGGCTGAGTACCGCGCTGTGGCCAACGTTGTTGCTGAGTGCTCCTGGCTTCGTCAGCTTCTTCACGAGCTCTCGTGTCCTGTTGAGAAGGCCACGGTGGTCTACTGCGACAACGTCTCCGCCGTCTACCTCTCCGCCAACCCGGTTCATCATCGTCGCACCAAGCATATTGAGCTTGATATCCATTTTGTTCGGGATCAGGTGGCTCTTGGCCATGTCCGTGTTCTGCACGTACCCACCTCCCAACAATTTGCCGACATCATGACCAAAGGCTTGCCCACGACGTCTTTCGAGGAATTCCGGTCCAGTCTATGCGTCAGCAACGGTGTCGCTTCGACTGCGGGGGGGTGTTGAGATATGTATTTAGCACATGTATTCTT